ATAATAATAAATTATTTAATAATAATGTTTAATGATTATAATAATAATAATGCGATAATAATAATATTGATAATAATAATAGCAGTAGTAGCAGCAGTAGAAGCAGCAGCAACAACAATAGCAGCAGTAGTAGTAGTAATAATAATGCGGTAATAATAATAATAATAATAATAATAATAATAATAATAATAATAATAATAATAATGATAAAATTTGTTCTATTCTGCTCTGCTGCAATCTGCTCTGTTCTTCTGAAATCTGCTTTGTTCAGCTGACTCCTGCTCTGTCCAGAATCTCAAAAGAACAGGACCTTAGTTGCATTTGATTTTGAAGGGAAATTCTAGCATAAGGACAATGGACGGAGTAATTTCATCACAAGAGTACTTTGATACTTTGTAGCTCTAAATAGGAAATGATTTTGGCACATCAAAATTGATTTTGATACATCTCAATATGAGAGCAAAGTTTTCTATACAGTTCTCACGTAAAAAACTAAATAGGTATGCCAAAATCAATTTTCCTCTAAATCTAGAAGACAAAGAAAAGTAAAATGGAGAGGACATTTGTTAATGGGTGAAAAAGCATAAATAAAGATGGGGGCACATGAAAGGTCCCAACAACCATACCATAAAAAGAGAAAACGAAAAATAAAGGTCCCAAAATTGACCAATAACTTAAGTCCTGCCACGTTAGTGGGTTACTACTTACTAGTGACCCAATTACGGCAATTAGGGGTCAATCCATGGACAAATCAATTGCACTACTACTACTTCTAGTAATGTATGTAAAGGCAGGGCCCCTCCATTAGAACCAAGTGTTACCAAATAGGCTTCATCCACTCGTTAAGGTTTTAATATCAAATCTCAAAGGTGAAATTCAAAGTTTGTCAAATGAAAAGGCCTGTGTAAGTGGATGTTGTCAGAAAATGATTTTTGCACATCAAATTTTGATTTCTGGACACTTTTTATGTGCGAGCACATTTTTTTTTTAGATGTATACCAAAATTAATTTAATAGTGTACTAAAATCAAATTCCTATATTGTTGTACCAAGATCTCATATTCTCAAATAGGGCTAAGCAAAATTATGTGAAAATCGCGAACTATAACCGAACCGAACTGAAAATTATGGTATTTGTTCCAATAATCATAACGGTTCGGGTACCCGATCTGATAATTTGTTATCGAGTACGGTTATTGAGTATCATTTTATAATTAACGGTTACCCGATTCGATCCGATAAGCAATATTTCTTTTTTTTCCTACTTAAATTTATTATTCTAAAATCTAAACTCTTACTTTAAGTCATAACCACTTCATAATTTAAATGATTAGTAATATTATTAGTAATTTGGTCATGATCATGTGGTATTATTGTTAATTAGTGTTGAATGATATCATAATAACTATATTATAAAGTATAAATTTTCATTATTGGATATCATATTAGGTACCCGATTACCAATCCGAAAATCCGGGTACTTGTACCTGAACTTATCGGTTCGAGGATATCATTTTTAATGTTATTGGTTATCGAGTATCCGAACCGATAGTGTTAACGGAACGGGTACCCGACCCATGCTCACCCTTTACTCTCAAGTGTCAAATAATAACTTAACTCATAAATAAAGACTTTTAAAACCGTAAAAATTAATGTTTGATCAACGTCTGTCTCACCCGTGAATATTGTCTTACCAAGATCTCATACTCTCAAGTGCTTATTGAGTGTGATTTCGGTTTCAATTAATTGAGGTTCGTGTTCGTGATTATTTATTGAGTGAAATGGATTAAATTTTGGATTTATTTATTTATTTATTTTTGGACTAATTAAGTGTTGACACTAATCAAAAAAAAAAAAAAAACCCTCTCTCAGCAGGTTATCAGTCATTGAGACTGGTGGAGGATAACATGTATCAAAGTTGGGATTATTAGATAGTAATCTTTAGTTGGGATTATTATAGATAAATTGTCCATAATTGAGATTATTAAAATGAATTTTTTCCAAAAAATATGGCTCTTAATAAAAAAATAAAAAAAAATGAAAAAAGTGATGATAATACGAGTAAAAAAAAAAAAAAAAAGGTGGCAAACATCTGGCTAAGAGTATAGACAGGTGCAGAGAAGTAATGAAGAAAACACGCAAGTTCAGAATATTTTGATTCCCCAAAAAAATAAAATAAAAAAGTGAGCATCAACTAACGTCATCATCAGATTTAGTCATTGCGCTGCTACTGCGAGACTGCCCCCCTGACCTCCGCTACGTACTCTGCACCGCATTTTGACGTTTCACCCAATCATCCCTTTTTTTTGCCACGAGCTTTATTATACATGACTCCGTTAAGAAAAGGAAGGAAACTTTATTTTTAGTGAAAGTTTCAAACCTTGGTCTCTTCTCTATTTTATTTATACTTTCTCCATTTAATTTAAAGGACTATTTGACATTAGAGGTGATCAAAAGGTAGGTTGGGTTGAGTTCGGACCAAGATGAGGGTAAAAACTCAATTTGCTTAGCCGAGTTGGGGTCGGGCCAATGTTTGGACTGAAAATGTTGATATGTGAAAGACTGAAAGGTAGATGTTGAGACAAATCAAATAAGACCCTATTCGACTATATTTTTTAAAAAATAAATCACAAAATTAAGTTAAAGTAACTTATAAATTGTGACAAAAATCAAAGTGTGTCAACTGTTATGTGAAATGAAAAGGAGAAGTTTTATAACTAGGCAATGCCCAATTATTGTGTTAATATACTAGATATTGACAAAAATGAAAAACTATACTCCTTATGTCCTTCAGTAATTCACATATTTAAATTTTGCTGTGAACTAGTCATATATGAATAATTGTTGTGGAGGTGTTAAAGACAAGATTGATTTAAATTAAGATTATCTAGCCAGTTAAACTAATGTAAAGACACAACAACTTTTAAGGATAAAGTAATAGAATCTTGTTAATGAACGCCTTTGGGCATTAAATAAGCGTTTCAAATACTTTTTAAAGTGGTATTAATTTGAAAATACATGCGAAAATCGCACGTCAATTAGTGTAATTAATGTTCATTTTAATTCAATATTTCTACTTCTAGTTTTTTATCTAACGCCCTTAGAATATTTACTCGCTTTTGCCAAAATAATATAGCAAATGAAATGAAAAAAATCACAAACAAAACATTTTCCAATATGGAGCCGTTAATTGACACATAAAGTGGTTTAAGTATTAAGGCAGAATGCACATCAATCAAGATTCTTTCATGCTTACCACGTGAGACCAGTCGACTGGCAATTAAATTCCTTATCTGATTAACATTTTATAAAAGTTTGATTAGATGCATGCTAATGGCAGTGACATTTGACGTACAGACACCAATGGATAATCCGTAATTAGAATAATTAATTAGCTTTAATCTTAACTCTTTTTTTTGTGGAATGTGCAGTCTAGCCGACTATTACGGCAGCATGAAAGACACCAAATTAAAGTAACACCTCTTTTCACTTTACTGTTTTGTTTTTCTTTTTTTTTTTTTTTTGAATAAATGCTTTACTGGGAAGTTGTGATGATTGGCCACCTCCACAGTGGATAAAATCATAAAATGATGCTCACTCTATTTGTAATATTCACAAATTGTATTTTTAACCATTGTGGAGTAATGTATATGTAGAAAAAAAATAGAGTATGTTCTAGAGTCCTGTTAAATGTATGGATGATCAAAATTTTAAATTGATAAATGAGTAAAAAAATAAGTGTAAAATTTTCTTATACTTGATATTTTCATTGTCTTTTCCTATATATATTTTTCGATATATTAGGGATGGAAGACTTTTTAATGGCTACAGAGAAATTGAGGCTATTGTAATTATTTTCAATCTTAACCTTTTATTTTTAAAGACCACAATCTTGTCCATCCATCCAATTGACTTTAAATATTTATCTAAAAATAAAATAAATTTTTTTTTTAGTTATTAAACCAAAAAAAAAAAACGCTATTCACAATCGCAAAATCGCCATTGTTTTGAAGTTTTAACCTTCAAATTATGAAGAAAGTATCTTGAATCTTGATTGGTGTTTCATTATTAATAACCATAGAAGTATCTAAGGTCTACAATTTTTCCATCAAATTAATACGAGGTAGATGAATCAGCATCTCCTCATATATAATAAAAAATCATAAACAAAAAATCGAAGAATATCAATGAAGGTATTATGAGTTTTGATTCACTTATAGTTACATTAGTCTCTAATTCTAACTCCTTTTTACAGAAGTAAGAATTACATTAGATGGCTAATACCTTACTTTGGAAGATGAACTCTGACCATAAAAATGAAACTACAAATCAATCATACAAAACTGCATTCAACAATCAGAGTATCTCGCTCGACTCACTAGAGAAGATTATCTCTAATTTAACTCGTAATATTTGATCCTAGGTTAGAATCCGTGCGATGCACGATTTATATAAAATTTATTTTCATAATTTGAACATTTTTTTTGAAAAAATGGATAAATATAAATAAATATTTGTAATTTTATAGTTTTAGATTTTCATCAAAATTATGATATAATACCTGTTCAACGTCGCTTAATACATATTTCAATATAGGAGTCCATTTATTAGTGTGCTATTTACAATTGTTTCATTTTCTAAAGATAAATTGATAGGTTGTATTTGTAACGTAGAAGTTTCTAATATTCAAATATAAAACTTGTTAAATATGGTAGCTCCAAAAAAAAAAAAAAATCAAAATCATCCTTGCATTTAGGCGGGAAAAAATTTATTATGTGAGTGACATGCGGACAGTGATGACGTCAGCAACGTTTTGTTTTAGTAATAGTTAATAGATATCTAGTGTTTTGGAATCAAAACTAATATTTTTATAAATTTTATTTTATTATTACTAGAATTATGTAGACAAATAATGAATGGCCATGATTTATTATTACATACCAACGATTCACATTTAAAAATTATAATGACTACAAGATTATTATAACCATTGCAAAACTGTCAATTAAGAAATTCACTCGTGAAAAGAAACTCCTAACTTATTCTACTCCGTCGTAATAAAAGGTAAAAGTACGACTCATACAGTAGATTAGCTTTAGTAGTAAAAAACCATTAATTAAAAGATTTAAATAAATACAAAGGATGAAGTAACTCCTAAATGTAGCAATAGCAACTTTATACATACCACCTTATTCTCCCCCTTTTTATTCCCCTGTCTATCTATTTCCCCATTACCTCGTCTTCTGTCTCCTCCTTTCCCCTCACACTCTCTCTCTATTTTCTCTCTCTAAAAACTCTCTCTTAAAACCAATGACTTCGACCCCAAACACCCGAACCGAAACCCACTACCGAGGTGTCCGCAAGCGGCCATGGGGCCGCTACGCGGCCGAAATACGCGACCCGTGGAAAAAAACCCGGGTTTGGTTAGGCACATTCGACACTCCCGAAGAAGCCGCCCTCGCTTACGACGGCGCTGCCCGCGCTCTCCGTGGCATCAAAGCCAAAACCAATTTCCCTCTTCTCTCTCCGCCGCTACCTCCGCCGCCACCGCCGCCTTCTTCCTCCGTCTCTCTCGACCTCAATCTCCGGCCCAACACTTCCTCTTGTGGCAATGTTAATGTTTCGGCCCACCAAGGCCGGTTCGTTGAGTACTTGAGAACTGGGCCAGGTTCTGTTGTTAGAGGGTCGGGTGATGTTGGGCCTAGAGTTGATGGGCTGGGCTTGGATTTGGGTTTGAGAAGTGGGCCTGGGCGTGGGCTTGGTGTTGACTTGAATGAGCCCCCCCCTCTTTGGCTATGAATAATGTGGCTTTAATTAATAATCTAACTATGTAGTATTAGTATTAGTATTGTTATTAGTGGTAATTATGCAATTTAGGTAGTTGATTGAGATGCTCTCTCCATTTTTGTACTACTACTAGTCAATTTGATATTCTAGAGTAGTATTATCATTATAAATTTTTGTATAATCTACTCTATTTTAGGAAAGAGTTTAGAGCTTAGAGAGATTGAGAATGGAAGTAATATTAAGGTTGTATTATTAATTAGTTGTAATATAATAATTCAATTTCCTAAGAGTACTATGTTTTGTTTGTACTCCACATTAATTAATTGTTTGAGTCATGTTAAATTTAGTAAAATTGTACTCCGTTCTGGGCTTACTAGCCCTAAGCATTTGTCAATAGTAATCCTCGTAATTACTGTATTTCAACTATCGTCTCTCTCGATATCCTTAGCTAGATTACTATATACTTTTTTCATTTTTTAATACTTGCAACACTTCTTAAAAAAAAAAAAATGTCAAATACCAGCAACAAACCATAATTGTAAAGTTTCTTTGGTTAAAGTTGTACTAATACTCTTATTTAATATTCATGTTCCATTTTATAACACTCTCCTAATAATTTCACAACCCCATTTTAAGTATGTATATTGTAGATTTATATAAAGTCCACTTTTCTTAAATATTGTAAAAAAGTGTGTTTCAAGTCTTAAAAACGAAGTACTTATATACAATTGATATCGCTTATTAGCCTTAAGCATTTGTCGATTGCTTTAAAATTTGACTAAAAATATACTTCGTACTCTAGCTTTTGGCCCCCACCTCTCTAGAGCTTAAATTAGTCAAGCTAGCATCTACATAACCACAATTCGTAGTCAATTAATGTTTGATAAGTGGAGTTCTTTAAGCCAACTTTTTACCATTATGAGTGGCTGAATGGAACAAAAGTTACCCATTTCTTGAATTTTGCATCTTATAAAAATGAAGACTTTTGAAGACAAAAAATCCACCAACGATCGTGCAATCTATGATTGTCTTCACAATAGGTTAACCCTATTTATCCACTTTACCCTTCTACTTATAGATTATCTTTCTCGGAGACAAAAGTTTATCACAGAGGATTAATAATTAATACAATAACAGGATATTCAAAAGTTTTATATTAGCACATCGCTTCCCAAATTATGCTTCATTATACAAATACAAGTAATTAACTGGTTAATCATGCAATGGATAATTTTGAGGACTTTATCACAAGTCATAGCAGGATTTCGACACTAATTAGTGGTTAGAATATGTAAAACTTAATTCACTCTTGATAGAGTATATAAATCGATCCTAAGATGATGGTTGAAATTTTTTAGGCTTGAGCTGTGGATGCGGCATGAGTCCCCTTATACCCAGTGTGAAATATTCCACTAAAAAGTGGGGGTGAATGAAATTTGAATTCGTGACATTTGTATCACGTTGGTTCTTATACCATGTTAGATTGTGAAAACTCCTCAAATTTGAGTGAATACCATTGATCAAAATACATAAGGTTATAAGATTAGTCCTTAGATTACCTAGTATGATAAGTATAAAATGTATGCAAATATATTCTAAACTTGCGACAAATATTATCGTTCTATAATATCTATCAACTCTATATACCACATGTGCACCAACCCAGTCAGGCAAGTGAAGTTTCAACTTAAAAGGGCTAAAACATACGGTAATAGGACGAATAATCCACGAGCGTTATAAGTTAATCACCTTCCTTCCACTCTTTTATCGTGAAACATTGCTTCTGTTCTTGATTGTGACAATCAGGCAGCCATAGCTATTACGAACAATCTTGTTCCCCAACACCTAATATAAAAGGCTAAGAGGCAATTTGTTCTCTTACAACTTAGCTTGATTCGGGCCTTAAAACATTGCTTCTGTTGTTTATTGTGATAATCAGGCAGCCATAGCTATTGCGAACAATCTTGTGCTACACGAGTGAACAAAACTTCTCGAACTTGATTGCTACTTTGTGTCTTTGTCCACAAAGTGTTCATTTGAGCTCAATCCTTACTGAATGTGTAGCTTCTCATGAATAAACTTCAGACATTACGACATTAAACCTGTCATGCAACAAACTGCGTGAGAGCTAGTTATACCCTGTGTGTGGATATAAGGAGATGCATTATGTAGTGGCTTGAATGACACCTTCGAAGCAAATAAGAATATCTCCGACATACAATTCTATTCTTTCTCTTCCTTTGAACCTTACTGCATTCGTGTAAGTAATTAACTCATCAATTATCTTCAATCATTCTTTTCTTGGAAGCTTTGATAGAAATTAAGAACAATGACAGTAGTTTTTCCTATATATAGACAAATTCCTACTGAATAATCATCAAAATCTGTTTAGAGGCATCAATTATACTGTTTTTATGAGAATACAATTTTCTGCTTTGTCACTCCAACAAAGGAGGCCTAATTCTTACAGCTGTTACAGGGTGAGACATCTATTATAAGACTGTTAATCGAAAATTCATGAACTATAACATGAGAGTAATGTAATTTACGGTCTCCTACTAATATCTCCCTGCAGATTGCTATACCAATCAGTTTCTATAGTGTTACACTTAATCTGCCAAAACCATGGGAAGAATGAAATGGAAAAAAAGCCGAAAAAAAAAAATATACAAGATGCTCCAAATTTACAATGTTCACAGATCAGATTTTCTTGGAAAACCCTCCCAAATCAAAGGTTTATGAGTAGTCTCAGAGGAAAGCTGCTCAAAAGTCCAAAGAATATGGCTGCCGGTGTTAATCGAACAACAAAACTGTGGCTTCATATCTCTGAATCTTTTTGCAAAAGAATGGACAAATGACATGTCTAAGGTCCATGAACGCTGCTACCCTCCCATTCAAGATAATAATATAGGACCGTCCTCAGAAGCAGTCCTTGAATTCTGATTATGTATTGTCATCTGCACATCCCGTGAAAATTGGGTCCGCTTCTTTGCATAGGGTGCTTCCCTAGCTGTGCAGATAGAATATGATCCGAAGAAATCATTATAATTACATAACAGCATATGCTAATAAACTCAAAATGAAAATTATGTCCCCATATATATACGTAAATACTGAAGAACTTAAAAGAGAGAGATATGTCGGTTATTATTGCTACACTTTGCTGCTTCATTTAGAGCTTTACCATAAAATGGTCCTCTCAATTGCTTCTTATTAAACTGTGATATACACTGCAAATCTCCTGAGTACTAAAAGACGAGGCATATCATATAGCATGCAGCTAACAGTCTTAACATCAAATATTCCTACAACGTATAAGTTTTCTTACCAGCCAGTCTCTGAGCCCTGAGAATGTTTTGCCGTCTTTTCCACCAAATGATTGAGCAGCCAACAATTAAAAGCAATGCTAAGAACACAGCAATGGCAATGCCAACTTTAGCACCCAGAGAAAGATGAGGCCCACATGTACGCAGGCCTGGTATGCCACAAAGTCCTGCGTTATCAGTAAAACTGCAGAAACCAATTTAGTTAATCTTGCAGCATACAAGGGGTAACAAAGAATGATTTGTGTTAATCAGTAAAATGATTTAACAAACTTACTTGAAGCTAGCTCTGTGTAACAATCTTCCACTAAGTGCAGCAGGAACTCTTCCGTACAGCTTGTTTCCATTGAGATTTCTGCATTATGACAACTTTCTATTATTATAGTCAACGACAATTAAATTCCTATGGCAACCACAGAGTTTTGTCTTACAGTATTTGCAGTGAATGTAATTGTCCCAAAGTCTCTGGAATAGAGCCATTCAGAAAGTTATAAGAAAGATCCCTGCCAGAAGTGCTAAATGTATCAATACAGATATCCACTTGACAATTTCAAAGTATAAACGATCGACAAGATGACTAAATTTATGATTTATACATTTCAAAACATTATATGTCCAGAGAAGGGATTCAACTAGATAAAACAGCAGTGTCTTGTCCTTTTTCTATCTGTTTGTCACTCTACTGCTAATTCCTTAAATTTGCTGGGAAAATTATCCGGTTTAATCTCCTGTTTCCTTTATATTTCTAAGCCAAGATAAAGATCAATGTCTATGGACATTCTGCTTAATAGTCCAATGGTCTCAATCCCACCATGAAAGAGCTTTGTTTCATAATTTCTGTCATAATTTGCCAAGAGCAAGCATACAATCAAAAGCTCATAGACTCAGTATATAAGTGTTGTAACTTTCACAAGATAAGAGGGAAGGTGTGAGGGTGATAGAAAATAAGTAAATTCCCTAGTCCTTTATCTTGATCCTTAAAGAAGCTATGTGTCTATGTGTGCATGTTTCAGAGTTGGTCATAAGTGCGACATCTGTTGAGGCTAAGAAATGTAGCTTATAGTTTAATAACAGCAATAACTACTGCTAATACAGAAATTGTGTTTTAAATTCACATGAGATTCAAACATTTAGAAAAGATTTGACACCTAATTAAAAGTATGCATGTTAGATCCATGGAGAGGCAGATGGATATGAGCAGTACTTCATGCAATAGCAAGTGCTTGATGTAAAGGTCGGTTGCATCAGTAAACTGCTCATTCACCATTTTACATAATACAAAAATCAGTGACGGAAAGTGTTAAGGGTGAGGATAGTGAAAAGAGTACAACAGAACAGACCATTATCTGATATCAAGGGAAGGAAATTTTTTTATGCAAAAATGAGTTGAAGTACTAACAGCACACACTTACAAAATCTCCAAGGTTGTAATGGTCCCCAAGGATGGAGGGATAGTCCCGCGAATACTGTTTCCACTAAGGTTACTGCCAACACAATAAAGCACAATTAAAAAAAATGGATTAGTGTGCTTTTTGATGAATTTGTTTTGGATGAACTATGTAAAAAATGCACAAGGTAGGAGGGAAGTTATAAAGTTACAAAAGACGTAACATATTGAATACAACAACTCATATTTACATCAAAATGAGGTGATCCATCAATTGTCAGCCAGAAGAACACCGATATATTGTAGATACCAGCAACTTACATGCTCTGCAAATGACTCAACTTTGATACATCTCGAGGGAGGAAACCATGCAAACCCTGATTGTCAAGACCACTGAGGATGCAAAAAGAAACTTCATTACCAAAAGGAAAAAGTAATATCATCAATATGTTCATATGATCATGCCTACTGCAGATTAATTAATTTACAAAAATAAATAAAATTCTAAGGCTTCTTAAAACCATATGCACACGACCACCCAATTACCCACATGCCATGCACAGACCTACAAATAAGGGCACATGCACATGGAATCGCACATAAGCATACATACGGAGTTGATAATAACAACCCTAAAGGTGGGTTGGCAAGATTATAAGTTGTTGGATGGATCTTGCTTAGCCAACCAATTAAACTAATGACATTTTGTTACTTCCAGTAAAGGAGATAAAATATTCTAACACCCACAGGCTACCTTCTTGCAACCATTAGGTACACCTTGCTACTGCCAGATGAAATCTTCAATCCACCTCCAGAATATACCAGGAGGAATATGTACGAATAAAGATAGTTGGTTATATGGGTTTTCATCATTTATGTGATTCTGATATGAACCTTAATCTCACCCTTTATGTGATTCTCATATGACCCAAAGCCTATTAAGGAATCCTAAAAATCAATCATAAATCAAATTTTAAACTAAGTCGTGCCATTTGAATTTCTTTGTTCTAACAAACATTAACATTACATCCTGTAGGCAAACTAAAATTAATGGGACACATAGCAACTGAATATCAGAATATGGCGAGGGACAAAATATAGAGCTCAAGAAGTCAAGAAAGAAATTTTCTTTTGATACTAGCAATCGATCTCGTTGGCTAGTTTACACAACTAAGAAGATTCCAAGAAATTGATGTGCATGGAGAGTTATAAACCATGTTTTATGATTGCTTATCCCTTCTGGTAAGTAGGCTTAACGAGTCAATCAACAATGATGTCATGAAATGTTAAGCCACACTTGCTTTTGTGTACAGAAAGACACTTTGAGATACAAAGTCATATCAATTAAAGATACCTGCATCTCCACCATGATTTCTTTCATTTATGATTCACTGTGAATCTTATTTCTTAGGAGATACATTAGGATATCATGAATTTGTTTGATGGTTGTAATAATGATGACATCCAAATTTCTTGTAGATTCATAAAGAACAATTCTGTTTGGTTTTGGGAATAATTAGATCAACTGGAATAATAATTGCTATTACTTTGTTTGTTTAGTACAAAAGAGTTCATAAAGAAAAATTCGAGATCTATATTAAGAAATGGTATAATGACCTAAACAAAACCTACTAGTTTGTTTAGTACAAAAGAGTTCCTACATTGTGGCCTTCAGATTCTTATAGGAATACAAAATTGGGTATTTTGCAAGCTGTATATAAAGGTTTCCTATAATATGATACCAGCATAACATTTTGAAAACTTTGTTTAGTACAAAAGAGTTCCTACATTGTGGCCTTTAGATTCTAATAGGAATACAAAATTAGGTATTTTGCAAGCTGTATATAAAGAGTTCCTATGATACCAGCATAACATTTCGAAAAACTAAAATACACAAATACTAGCTCTGTGACTCAGAGACAAATATTTGTGACGGAAACAAACATATTGAGGCTTGGAGAAGTTGATTCAATCGATTGGTAAATTATGATCAACCTAGACATAAATAAAAAAATAAAAAAAAAGTACTTAACTGGAAGGATAGCCCTGGTACACTGCCAAAGTCAGTTCATGGAGATAAGAACACAAAGAATAGATGTATAGTTTATGGAGGATGAACCTCAAAAACGGTTGTGTGTGCTTCGACTGCATTTAATACTATACAATTGCATTACTAATCTCCCAAATGAAATCATTACATAGCAAAATCAATTCAGCTAAAATGTGAGGCTAGAAAACAAACATTTTTGCAGAATATAAATCCTAACCAGGATTGAAACTTACAGTCCGTCAATGTACCATCTTTTATTAGCACCATCGAAACGACAGTCTGCTCCATTCCACGGATGTTGCCGGGGGACACATGGATCACCATTCCACCCAAGACGATGAGGAAGTTGAAGCGCCTTTTTTAGCGATTGTAAAGCACTAACTAAAGGAAATAGAAAGGAGCAGTTAATAGATGTCTACATGATTACATTTGTCTTAACCAAAAAACAATATTAGCAGATATATGGAAAAAAAAATGATGTTAATGCTTTCAGTGAATGCCGAAAAAGATACATATTAGTTATTTAGTTTAGCTCCTCATACACATAAATGCGTTAGTAAAGAAGGAAAGGCCACATTAAGTGTCTGTCTATTCGAGGTTAAATAAATTCCTTTTTTTTTTTTTCTAAAGAAAAAAAAAGCTCTTTCCCTCTCAGTAATACTCATATTAAATTTTCAGTAACAGTGAAGGCTATGGACCTTGCAATCTTGTATGTAAAATATTTAGAAATACATGGTGGCTAAACAGAATTTTGCCACATGTTTAGGGTACAATTAATCACTAAGCTCAGTTAGAGAGACTAATCTTGATTAATAAACCTTTTTTTTTCAGTAAACAAAGAAATTAAACTTGTGTAGGAATTCTTTAGAATACTCATTTTGTATCTGATAAAGCATAGAAGAGTATTGAAAAGGCCATTTCAATCATTTTTTTGTTGAGTTAATTCCATCAGTAAGAAGTGCTATATGAGAACATCACCTACCATAATGCCAGAAAGAATAAAAATAAAACATACTAGTAATTAGGGCAAGGTCAAAATCTTGAGAAGAGAAGCCAAATGACACAGTGAGGTATGTACCTTCACCAGATGAAGTTTTTGCCTCAGCTGTAAGAACCAGGAAGATTTCAATGGCACTGATTATTGCATGGCTTCCATTGATGGGCTTCAAATTGATAGTCAAAGTCCGACCATCGATTGCAACAGTTGTATTCAATACTAAAGCTGTTTTAACATCCCCACTCATGCTAACGACATCTACGGCTTTAAATACAATATCACCATTTATCAGAATATCAAAGACCCTTTGTCCTGCCTTGGTGATGGAAGGATCAATCTCGGCAAAATGTAACCAAATGGAGTAGTTACTGTTAGGTTCCACATCCATTGAATAAGTTAACGCAGGCTCAACATCAGTGCTAACTAAAGCTGATTGGTAAAGACCTTGTGGATAAAAGTTTGGAGCAATTGAACTTTTCTTGATAGGACTTTCAACAGAAATAGGCTTGTCAGAACTTTCGCCAAAAGTTGTCAGTGAATTAAAAAACCTATCCCCACCCCACGGGTCACCTCCATAATCTTCACCAAACTTTGGCCTCCCCTGCCCACTGCTAAACCTCTTTACAGTTTTTAGAATTGTTCCTTTGCCAAATAGTGGGCCAAAATTGTACGCATTATCATTAACCTGTTGAATTTCAATAGAAAGAATTGCTGGATTACCGTGACCTGTGCTGTGGAAGCAAAGAGATACAGTACCATCAGTTAAAAAGACAATGGTTTCTGTGAACACATGCTCATCATCTTCATTACTCCATCCAGCGCCCAAAGAATCCACCAGAGTTCCCTCTACAGAGATATCAAATAGAGGCTCGTTGTCAAAGTTTGGATCGTCTACCAGACCATAAAATATCCTCACAAGATAATGCCCAGAGGGCACGCGATTAATGTTGTAACAGTTTTCTGGACCCTCAGATAAAGGGAAATAGCGAAGGGTGGATAGTGGAGGGGTAATATAACTAGGCCGTGTAGCATTGGCAGGTATTCCTCCTGTATATGCAAAATCTTTGTACCATAATGTATTTGTTGGTGGAGAGCGGATGTCCTTCCTTGATCCACAGCTTATCCTTAGAGCATATGGCCCTGACATTCAAAATAATGTTCCAATATAACATTAAAGAGCAAGCAAGGAAATGTCCTAATTTATCCTTCAAGACCCATGCAGCTCTTCGAATAAATTCAAGGTTAACCAAAGCACACCCCACTTAATTCCATCTTACCTAAAAACATGCTATTAGTTTATTCATGATAAGTGAAGTTGGAAGTCCACATTTAAAATGCCACAGACTCCATCACTAACACACCACTTCAAGAACCTATCAATAAGTTCATCTGATTCCATCAATAAGTTCGCCCAAAAAGAAATGCTTAATAATTGGCAAGAGGCAGTTTGCTTCATCAAGAGTAAGTGATCAATAACAACAGTAATTACCGAATACGAGGCAAATTGCTTTGCACCTTGCACATAGTTGCAATAGGCGATTAAATGGGAGGAACACGGCACAAAAGCAACTAAATGAGCTACTATAATTTTACAATTTTGCCAAAAATTTTAAATTATTAGAAAAAGTCCACACTCTCAAGTCTCAATTAAGAAAAAACAGAACAAATATACAAACAACCAAATTGAAAGCATCCACAAAAATGCACAAATCAAGCACCAGAAAAATTCCAACTTTCCAATGAAAACCAATGTGCCCTTTACTAACTACACCAAAATTTGGTCAATTCAGCTAAAACCAATGAAACTAGACAAGTTTTTAGATCTACGCAACTCTTAAACTGAAGTCAAACTAAACCCATCAAGCAAATTAAGTGAATTTTACTCAATCAAACCCAAAATTCAAAAAACACCCATAAAAAATAGACAAAAAATTAGAATCTTGCATGTAATAAATCAACAAAAAAACTGCAAAAAAATAAAAAATAAAAAAAAAATTCAAACTTTAACTTACTAAACTTATACCAATTTAAAAAAGGTAAAGTATGAAGAAAAAGTTTTTACCTTTTGCTTTAGCTTGAGATATAGAGCAAGTAGAAAGGAAGATGAGCAGCAGAAGCAGCAGAATAAGGCGGCTAATAAGCATTGTGAAGAAGCATCAAATGCCTAACAATTCTTTCTTTCTCTACTATTTCTTGTAAATCTTCATTACCCACATTTCCAAATCTCGAAATTTGTGCAAAATTTTCTGGGTTTTATCCTTCTGAATTGAATGATTGAAGATTTGAATGAGGAAAGTGTTGGGTTTGGAGTTTGGACGTGGATGCCGGTATAAAGAGAGGAGAGTAGAATTTAGAGTTATTTTAATCTTTACTTTGAGTGGAGGAAGTCAAGGATTTATGACATAATTTGGTTTTATGTCCGAATTTCTTTTGACCCGTGAATGAAAGTGACTGGCAATGTGCTAAGTTTTCATTTAATTACGGCGGTTCTTCGTTGGAGGTCCCTATTCCCATTTATGGGGTTATTCATTGGTGGGATGCTAGGGTGGGAATGGAAGTTGAGTTCGGATGTGGACTTTAGAACATCTTTATTGGTGAACCAAAATAAATGGTTCATGGGTCACTATCACCATTTCTCTCTCATCCACATCAACCCAACAAACCATTTACAATATTCACTCTTAACAATGAACACTAAACAATGGTTCATCATCAATACTCCCTACCCCACCTTATTTTATTTTTGTAAATATAATTTTTTTTGTTTCATAATTATAATTTATTAACCCGATGTCAATGTAATTAATTGACGTATTTAATATTTTAATCGTGATTACTAATTAAGAAATTATCGCATTTTTTTATCAGCTTTTTAAAAAACTAATTCTTGTTATTAATATTTTTTAAACAACAACGCAGCTAATTTTAATTAACAAAAAAAAAAGAGGTACAAATCGTGATTACAGTTCTACAACTATAATCTAGTACATTTTATTTAAAAAAAAAAAAACAACTACACATCGTTTTGTAAGATGTCCTTAGGGATAACCATTTGTTGTAAACCTAGTTGCCTAAGTTTTCGTTGTTACCAAATTTATTCCATATATGTTCGACCAAGTCGTTTTTTAGCTGCAAATGAGTCTGTTGATCCTCAATCTCTGTTCTACGAGACAAGTATAAGCCGATATCCACAATACGATCAGTACGGTACTCGGTAGTGTCCTCATTAGCGTTGCCTCCAGCATTCATAAACTCATTGGTATTAACGTTATTTTGATACGTCTCTCGTTCATCTTCAACGATCATATTATGTATTATGATGCAGGCGAGCATGATATTGTGGAGTATGTCGGTATCCCACGCCAAAGACGGCTTTTTAATAATGGAAAAACGAGCTTGAAGGATCATATTTTGACCCAAATTTTTTTTTCTTCTTTCTATTTGTTTTGGGGTTGGTATTAGCATCCATAATTATAATTTATATCTGGAAAAAATAAAAATTTAATAATAATAATAATAACGACAATAATAATAAAAATAATAATAATAACGATAATAATAATAAAGGAAATAATAATAATAACGATAATAATAATAAAAATGATAATAATAACGATGATAATAATAATAATAATAATAATAATATTAATAATAATAATATTGGTAATTAATCCTGGGCACCGTGCCGTGCCGGGCCGCCGCGGGCCGTGCCTGGCGGGCCACGGGCTGGTTCGTGCCGTGCCGGTCGTGCCGGCGGGCCCAGGATTTCGTGCCGTGCCGTGCCGGCCATTTTCACAGGCCAGCCCACGGCACGGCACGGCCCTCGTGCCTGGCGGGCTCGTGCCGTGCCGGCCACGTGCCGTCCTGCGGGCTGGCCTGCGGGCTGGTGCAGTTTTCAATTTTTTTTTTTTTTTTTTATGACAACATTATAAATTAATAAGTTTATAATGTATATAAGTTATAAAATTATAATTATAAGTTTTATAAGGTAACTTATAAGTTTATAACTTATAAGTTATTAAGTTATGAATTTTATAATATAAGTTGAATATTTATGTTTTATAATTTGTATATTCAATATTTATATTTATATATTTACTTTATACTATTACTTTAAAATTTAATGTTTATGATTTATTAGTAATTGGTATAATTTTATTTTTTTTAATATGAATTTACAAATTGTAACAAAACGGGGAAAAAAAGGCAAATTGGACTTTGGATGTGAATAATGCGTACTTTATATTATTATTACTTGAGTTGAGAAAATTGTACAATGATAACAATGATAAAAATCATACAATGATGGTATTAAACAAAAATTGGAAAATGATAAAATTGATATTTTTAAAATCGTACAATATACAATAATTGTCTATTCTTCTTCTCCTTCTTCTTGCTCGTCTTCGTCTTCGTCTTCGCCTTCGCCTTCAAGGTCATCGGCTAGTTGCATAGATTGGGAACTAGCCGAACCCGAACCGGAAGCGGAGGTTCCTTCTTCGTTGTCGTTGTGGTCGTAAGAACGGTCTTGTGAGCGATTTTCCGCATCCAACCAATCTTTGAAACACACGCACATTTCTAGTGTTTCGGGTTTTAGACTTGTTCTTCTATCGTCTAAAACCCTTCCGGATGCGCTGAAAGCTCGTTCGGAGGCGACGGAGGAAACTTGGATAGCAAGAATGTCTCGTGCCATTGCCGCCAAAGTTGGATGCTTCGAGCTTTGTTGTTTCCACCATGCAAGGAGGTCGAGGCTGTTTATCTCATCGTCGCCCATGCCTTTGGTGAAGTCGTAACTCAGGTACATCTGCAACTCCGAGACGTCGCTTTGCGTTCTCCTGATTGATGAATCACCTGAAAACCTTGAAATCAAGTTAGTAGCTTGTGAAAATAAATGTTTGGCCTTCTTACTTACATTTTTGGATGGTTGGGAAGGCCCTGAGCGAGGAACGGTGCCATATTTGGCTTCATAGACTCTATATAAAGCAAAAAACTGATCCTTCACATTAGTCTTATAGTTTTCTACATCATCGTCAAGAAACATGCATTGAAAGTAAATGTCAACTAACATAAATGTGTTTTCATACTTTTGCCTAGGATCTAATATGGAAGCAAAAATATAAATCAAAGGAATCTCACTATAATATTTACGCCACTTTTTTTCCATTGCTGGAAGATACTGATCATAATCACTTTGATCGCGATGATCAGCGAAAAGTTGGGCGAGTAAGCATGCATTAGAAAGAAAGTTTTGAGCACAAGGATTGTAAACAGTAGAAAAACAATACGTCATGTTATATAATAACTGTAAAAATTGCATATATCTTTCACAGTTTTTCCAATCATCATCATACAAAGCATTTTGTGGAAATTTTTGGTTGTAAAATATTGTTAACGGGCCCTTGTACTCAATTGCCTTTGTTAACATGTCATAGGTGGAATTCCACCTAGTTGGGCAATCGGTTCTAATTTTTATTACCCTTATCTTTTGTTGTTTTAGAAAACTCTTCCATTCTTGGTATCTCATGTTAGAGCTATTAATAGACATAATAGCATCTCTGATTTTGTGGGCCAATTGCCCGAACTCCATCCTGTACACATAAGTTAAGTACATGGCAAACACATCTAGTATGAAGAGCTTCACCGTCTAATAGTACATCGGTTAAGTTTTGTTTGATAAGATTAGCTGTGTATGTCATAGAGGTTGCATTATCAAAAGTCATAGACATCATTTTATCTCGAAGGTTGTATTCGTCTATTGCTTGCATTAAATGGTGAGCAATGTTAATGCCGGTGTGTGGGTATTCCAGCATTTTGAAATGTATTATTCTTTTTTGTAACATCCATTGATCATCTACCCAATGGCAAGTCACACATAAATAGTGATATTTATAACCACTATCCCAAGAATCGGCTGTTAAAGATACTCTACAGTTAAGGTTACTCAATTCGGCTTGTAACCGGACTTTGTACTCTAGGAAATTTTTCATTGCGGCGGAACGAACGGTTTTCCTAGAGATTCTTTTATGTTGGGGTTGTAGTGCTTTGTTAATGTAGGTGTTGAATGCGTCACTTTCCGAGAAAAGAAAAGGTTGTTCGGCGTGTACTATCATTTTTCCTAGTTCATCCCTATCCCTCTCATAGTTGTATGTAAAGCCGTATGGATGGAATTGGGAAATTTTGGGCTGGGTTGGATCACTAGCTGGTTTTGCACAAGCTTTCATGTGTCTAGATAAGTGTCCCGTCCCGTTTTTGGTAACTGCCGTGAATACACTATTACATGTTTTACATTTTGCCCATTGTTCACCATCTTTACTTAGGACAAAATAACGCCATACCTCACTCCTTCGGTTTTTCAAAAGTAGCATCTCAGTTTCGGTTAACCATTCATGATGTGTGTGATGGTTAGTAGTGGGACTAGTGGGAGTGGCAGTAGAACCGGAGGGAATTCGGGTACTTTCTTGGCTACCTTGGCTAGAACAATAGTTTTGTTGATCACCGATATAATTAGGTGGAAATTGGTATGGTGGTAGTGGAAATTGGTTTAGTGGTGGTGCTGGAAATCCCGACGTATTATATGGCTCATAGCCCGAGGGGAAGTAAATGGGGTCATTGGTTTGACTCGTAATTTGGGGGCTCGTTGTATTTGGTGGTTCCCTAGAACTACTACTACGGATAAGTCGGCCTTTCCCCCTAGACCTAGATGATGGGTTGTTCGATGCCATAATTAACAATTAATTTTTTAATAAAAAGTGGTTAACTATAATAATAATAATTAATAACAACAATTTTAACAATAAAAATATCAATAATAATAATTAATAACAACAACTATAACAATAACAATAACAACAAAAATAAATAATAACAACAATTGTAACAATAATAATAATTAATAACAACAATTATAACAACAACAATAACAATTAACAACAATAATAATTAAACAAGATTATTCTAATAATAACAATAAAACAATAATAAATTTAAGATTAGTTTAGATCTTACAACCGTGCTTCAACGCTCCACTAATTACGATTACGAACTTTTTAATTTTTTCCGATATTAGGAAAATAATTAGAGAATTTAAGAGAATAATTAGAGAATTTGAGAAAATAAGGATTATTAGAGATTTAGAGAATATAAGAGATAAGAAGAAGAGATTGTGATTTTGTGATTTGGGAATGAAATGGAGGTGAGTATTTATAGAATTTTTGACAAAAAACTAGCCGTTTTATAGTCGTTGGCCCGCGGGCCGTGCCTACGGGCCGTGCCTGCGGGCTGTGCCTGCGGGCCAGCACGGCGGGCCATGCCCGTGCTCGTGCCGGGCCGTGCCTGGGAATTCTCAACCGTGTCCGTGACACGGCCCGTGGCACGGAAGTTGAACTTCGTGTCGTGCCGTGCTTGACTTCGGGCCGTGCCGGGCTGCGCCGAACGGCGGGCCGTGCCGGGCGGCACGCGGGCCAACCCGGCCC